AAGTACAGAGATGCCCAGGAATGCGGGAGTTGTTCATAGCTGTTTCCACTCTGAACTGTAACTTCTGTTAATCGTAGTGAAGGCGTTTCTGCTGACTCATCCCACGTGCACACGCCTTCGCGCTCAGTGGCTTCTTCAGTCAAGTGGCGATTCTTTCGAATTGATGCTGTGTTTGCGAGGGAACCAGATCCCCCGGATCAAACCTGTGCCAACCACCCAGTGTCGCCTCGGGGACGAGCGTAAAGGTGGTGAGCTCTCCCCAGAGCCGCACGCGGACGCGCTGCCATCGGAATTCTTTATCCAGTTTGGCCGTGACCGAGGCCGGTGGTTGGGAGGCCCATGCTGATGGTTGGTGCCGCCCCGGACATTTGTCACCCTTGTGGCCAACGACGCAGGGACCCCGCCTCCCTCCGTCCTCCCGCTCAGGCTGACACACCCTCTTATCTGGTCTCCTTATCCTGTCTCTGCCGGGTCCGCCTGCCACCAGCAGCCCGGCTCCCAGCCTCCAGCCCTCCCTCCCTCACCCACCCGTGGTACTACCTGCAGACGGTGGCCAGGTTTCCGAGTCCCATCTGACGCTGCTTCTCTCCTGGCCGAGCGCCTCGGGTGTCCTGCAGACGCAGAAGGAGGCCCCAGTGCTGGGGCAGGGGGGCCCAGGCTCTTCCGTGGGGGGGGGGGGGCAGGAGGAAGCGCCTGCCTCACCAGGAATGAATGACTTCTGTTTTCCTTTGAATTTTGGCGCCCTCCCTGCCTCTCTCTGTTGGCAGCAGTTGGATTTTGGACATGAAACTGTTGTAACGGTGTTCTTGTCATTCTCCAGCTCTGTTAGGGGTTTTCAGGCCTCTCTGCGCCTCTGCCCAGCGGGAGGGCCTCACCCTCCCGTCTCCACCTGCGGGAGTCCCGCCCGTCCTCTGAGGGACAAGTTCAGGTACCGCCTCCATTGTGAAGCACCCCGTCCTTAGGAAGGAATCTGTCTTTCTTGGGACGAATGACTGGGTGCAGTTACTAGGATAAGAGCCAGAGAGCCGTTGCTGCCTCCTTCCTAACGCGGCGCTCTGCTAGCCGCTGCGATCTGGCCGAGTCTGCCCGCCCCGCAGGAGCACGCACGTGTCTCCCGCTCGGCTTTGGGTCGGGGCTGAGCGTGCTCAGTAAGGCGCACTGGTCTGCGCTGGCGTCACACGAAGATCTCCATCTGAATTACTTTCTGGCGTCTTCACTGGGAAGGAGCTTTTTCTGCAGTGAGTAGCAGATACAGAATAGCCAGTCACTGAGTTCTGACGAAGGGCCATTACTCCCGATGCCCCTACGGTGATCACCTGGAAGGCTGAGAAGCAGAGGCTGCGCTGGAGCAGGAAGCTGAGGGTGCTGACCCCAGGCTGGGTGCTGCGGCCGCTGTCCTCGCCGAGGCGCCCGTGGCCTCTTGCGTGCCAGCCCTGTTACAGCCCTTACTACACTGGACACAACTCACAGGTTTCACGTGGTGCGTGTGGCTTTGCTGATGGTGGCGATGCTTTGTTTTCTTGCCTGCTTTCCTCTCCAGACCAGCTCTGTCCGTAAACTCCCGGTGATGATGGAGATGTTTTGTGACCTGTCCCCGACAGGGGCCCCGAGCCACGTGTGGGTACCGAGCGCCTGGCGCGTGTCTGCCGCTGCTGAGACAGGAGCGTTTAAAGTCAAGTCCTTCTAACCTTAACTAGCGACAAGTGACTGGCAGCTACCGTGGCGGACAGGGCAGCGGTGCTGAGCTCCTGGGACAGTGACAGCTTCCGTGTTCATTGTCCCTTCCTGCGCGCTGCTGGGCGCACAGTGGGCCCACAATAGGCATCTGTCATGTGGTGAATGCTTAACATTTCCCCAGGTGGCTGGAGAGTGCTGGGAGCTGGCTGGGCGTCTGTGTGTCGCCTCACTCTGCAGCCCCGACGATGCCGCGTGGACCACACGGCCCGGCCTCTGTCCCTGCGACCTTCACTGGGTAGCAGGCAGCAGGGGAGCAACTCAGCAGGAGGGCTGGGAGCCCCGAGGAAGAGGCCTGGTGGAGCCAAAAAGAAACGAAAGGACCTCCGCAGTGAACTGGGAGCCCCTCCACCTGCCTGGGCTCGGATTTGGTGATCCACCTTTTTTCCGGAGGTGGCCGCAAAGGTCGTTGAACCCCCCAGATCAGAACCTGCGGGACCCAGAAACCTGACCTGGAGGCCCTAGTTCTGGGAAAGGAAACTTTGTGGGTGTCGGGCCAGCGAGGGGAGGAGAGGCTGCCTGGCTGTGAATGTCTCCCTGTGAGGAAGGAGGTGGGGGCTCCTGCCAGGGGTGAGCGCTCTCTGCCCCTGGTTTTCATTAGAAAGCTGCTCGGGGCCTCGTCCCCGCAGGGTCCCCTTCGGCCAGCCCACCCTCGGCGTGTCCCCCGCGCCTGGCACTCCCCGTCAAGCCCGGTGGATCCACGCTGTTTCTTCCGTGATGTCCTTCTCACTGCGATAGGCACCTCCCACTTGTTCATAAAAATGAAATCACTATCCTGTTTTTCTGAATGGAAATTGCCAATTTGGGGAGCAGAAGGTTGGCAGCTTCAGTCAGACTCCAAGAGAGCAGGAAGACTAGAGGCAGGGGGTGGGGAGGGTGTAGCTCAGGGGTAGAGTGTATGCTTAGCACGCACGAGGTCCTGGGTTCGATCCCCAGTACCTCCATTAACAAAAAAAGGGGAAAAAAGAAAGACTAGAGTAATGTGAGGCAATAATTTATGCAAAATCTCTCTTTCTGGGATGGAATGACAGAATTTTTTAGAAAAAGAAGGACCAGTATGTGTAACTGCTTTCAGAAGACCCCGTATGTGCAAATCCAGACTTGTAAAGGGCTCAGAGTGATTATTCATATGCTGAAATGACTGCTATGTGTAACAGACACATAATATAAATATGATCTATAAGATTTCTTTAAATAACGGAGGGGCACACTTAGAAGGCTTTGCAAACCTGACAAGCTAAACAGATGTGTGAGGCAGCCAGCAGAGATGCGATAGAGACCAGTGGGGAGTGTGGAAAATTCGAGTCCCCGTGTACCCCCTCCCCCACCACAAGGGAAGCGTCTTCCAAAAATGTAAAAATATCATGTGAGCCAGAGAGATTTGGTTACCTGCCAGTTGGTGATTCCTGCTTTTTCAAATAGTAAATTTTCCCAGGTCCTTTTAAAATACGCTTCATTTTGCAAAAAGAGGAGCACCTTTACTCGGCAGCATGAGACAAACACTTCAACTCTAACTGGTTCGTGGCCTGGACGGGGGCCTGCCCGAGAGGGGGGTCTGGAACTCCATTTACCTGCGTCCTCCACTCTGTCCAGACCAAGGACTTTGCAGAAGTGGGTGGCATTTGCCCAGGTCAGTGGCTTTACCCAGAGTCACAGACCCAGTGAGAATGAGGACGTGGAGGAAGCAGGGAGCGTCTGACAGCTCCCCAGCTCCCTTGAGAAGAAAGCTGGGCACCTTCAGAGCATCTTCTTAACTGCTTCTGACGTCTCAGGGTTCCAGAGAAGGAAAACTTCCTCGTTCTTACCTTCCAGTGGACGTTTGCTTGGGGAGAAAACTCTGCTCTCCCAAGTGAGATGCGGAGTCCGCGGGGGTCTGCCCCTCCGGGAGCCACGCGGGGGCTGGGGAGTCGCATTTCTCTGAAGTGTCGAGGGGCGGGCTTTGGCCGGGTGGCCTGAGGATCTGTCCCCGTGTGCAGCTGCCCTGCGCCTCGTTGAGGGCGGTCTTGTTCTGTGCTTCCCAAATGGTGGCAAGTTTGTCACCGTGATAAACTTATCACTGTGAATGACAGACGCGTGTCTGGGGAAGGGCAATTTGGCATTTCTCTAAAAGCCAGGATTAAGGTCTCATCACTCCTACCCGCCCTCTACCCACCTCGTCTCATCCCCAAGGCGTGATTTCCCCTGTAGGCCGGAGACACAATGGGAAAGGACACGGGGTGTCTGGGAGGCAAGACTTCCCAAGGGCTATAAAAAGCGATGTGATGGAACTGGGGATCCCCTTACAAAAAAAATACATTTATAGAAGCTGCAGCAGTTCAGCTGGGAAGGAAAACGGCACCTGGGGCGTCTGTCAGAGGCTGTGGAGCTTTCTGACGAAGCCTTGGCTACATCCGAGCACGGATCTGTGGTCTCCCCTTAAAAAATATTTTAAAGAGGAAAATACCTATGAAAAGAAATCTGTGCCGGAGAAGCAGGACTAAATAGTAATTATTGAGACAGAAGGAGGTTTTACCGGGTCCCCGGTCTTTCCCCCGGGGCGTTCGGAACGGG